TTTTTTTTTTTTTTTTTTTTTTTTTTTTTTTTTTTTTTTTTTTTTGTGGGGATTTTAGTGAAAATGCTTTGTATGATTAGAAGGAAAATAAGAAGAAAAAAAAAAGAGACAGACAGCATGTGCTTGTGCAATTGGGAGGCAATGGCATGTGGGTCTGTCAGTTTGCTTTTTTGTAAATTCCCATGTGATCCATCCAAATTTCAAAACATTATTAATCATTATTATTATTATTTTGTATTTTATGTTTTTTTTTCATAACAGCCTGTTGCTTTGCTTTATTCACAAGGAGCAAGACCAGACAGCTTCACCCATACCCAACTTTGCTTCCATCAAACCATCCCTCAATGTCTCTCATATATCCACATTGATCGGAGAGATAAACAAGTGTTACCAAAGACGCTAGGCCTCAAAAGGGTCACGTGAAGATACTAGGCCTCTAAAGGAGCAAGGACGTTAGGCCTCAAAAGGGTCAAGTGAGAACACTAGACCTCAGAAGGGCCAAGTGTTAGTAAGGAACACTAAGCCTCAAAAGTGGCGAGGATGTTAGGTCTTAAAAGGGTCAAGTGAGGACAATGGGCCTCAAAAGGGTCAAGAGTTAGCGAGGAACGCTAGGCCTCAAAAGGGGTGGATTGTGAGATTCCACGATACCTCTCCCCCTAGAGGAGTAGGTTGTGAGATCCCATTCATTTAGAGAACGAGTCAAAACATTATTTTATAAGGAGTTAGAAACATTTCACTCGATTACAATTCAATTGTCTCATCGGAATCCAATTGTCTCGTCTGAATTGGGTAACCATATCGTTATAATAAAAAATAAAATAAAAATAAAAAAATGATGAAAAAGGAAGTGTATTGATTTGATGGATATAAGGTGATCATGTGAGGTGTGAGCTGTTCCGATTGTTAAAAAGGCAAAACCTTTTTCTGAACCCAAATGAAGATAGGAATCTTGGCATGTGCTCAACCTCTCTCTATCCCCCCTTTAGGGGTTTTATGAGTTGTTAAATAAATAAATAATCAAATAATTTAATTTAACTATGAAATTACCAAAAAAGAAATATATATTATATATATATATATATCTAAAGCCCAAAAGGGAAGTGGGACACAAAAAGTGATTATTTATTATTCAAAGAATGTTTTGTAATTGGATAATCTAATAATAATAATAAGAAGCAAAAATAAAAAATATATATTTTTTATTCCAATAGGAAGAATATGAAGAAAATGAAGGAAGATTCTAGATGCATTGGGAGGGAGCAAAGCCGACCTTCTTATTGAAGAAATCAAATTGCCAAAGGAAATTTTGCTGAAGAATATTGCCGATGATATTGGTGTCTGGAAAAGGAATAGAAGTGAAGCCAAGACACAAGATATCGTCCACCTTCACAATGTAGCTTTTGGGGGGCGGCTCGAACACCACCCCCTTCTCGAAATGGAATCGAAGCTTGGGGGCCATTTCATGGGAGTAGTGGGTCTTATTGAAGCAATAAGCGAAGGGATCCGCAAGGATTTGCTGGAATTTCTTCAGCTTTTGAACCATGGCTTCCATGAACACGTCGAACGCGGGTGCGGTGAGCATGCTGAGACTGGTTCCGGAGTCGAGAATGGTGCCGCCACCTTTCTGGATGTCCCAAACGCGGGGAGGGATGTTGAGCGTGACACCGTCGATTGAGATTCCGATGAGCCCCACGCCGTAGTAGCTGTTGAAGGGGCCGCCGAGGTGGAGGTTGATGAAGGTCATGTTGCCGACTGGAGCAACAGAGAGGGGTTCGGCGGGGGGGTAGCCTAGGATGAAGTAGCTGGTGGCGCTGTGGTGGCTGAGATGGTCGATGAGGCAGTAGGAGAAGCCACCGCCGTTTTTGTCTAGAGCGGCTCTGTGGGCGAAGGAGTGTGCGCCAGTTCCTAAGCCAAGGATGCCGTCGACTCCTTTCAACTGCATTGCATTGAACAGTTCGGTGCAGCCGATTAGAGTATCATGGAGCTGTTTCTCTTTTCCGTTTGTGAGGCCTACGGTTACCGTCTCGTTTGCGAACAATCCCGTCGCAGCCCCTCCTCCTATGTAGCTATTTCACACTCCAAATAAAAAATATAACTCAAATTCATCTCAAATTGAATCTAATTCCTCTCAAATTGAATGCAATTGCGCAGAAACAGACTCTGATTCGTAGGATTAGGATTTCATGGCTAAACCCTAATTCTTCGCACATACCTGTAATCATAGACGCAAGGGTTGGAAGGAACTTGACAATCCGGGATGGCGAAGAGTAGTTGGAGATCACCGAGGCAGAAATCTGAGCCGCAGGTAATCAATTTGAAAGAGGATGAATGATTCGCTAAAAACGGATGATCGAATTTCACTTTGTGTTCAACACGGCTCTTATGATGAGCGTGGGCGGTGCAATTTCCCAAGCACCGCCGATATCTACATTTCAACCAGGTTAGGTCACTCCCGGTGTCCACAATCAACAAAAATTTCTGCGGCGGCGTTCCGACTCTGAACTGAACAAAATACTCATTAGTTCCAAAATCGAAGCCTGAGCTTATTTTCAGTTGTATCGGTGCAGATGACGGCATAGGAAGCTGACGATCCGTCTTGCTCATTTTCATCGATGTGGAGATTGAGCGTTGGCGGTTGTGGTCGTGCTCGTGAATATCTCTGAAGCGATCGGTGCTTCCTAGACTCCTCCGTTCACCATAAAGCTTCTCCTGAACATGTGGATGGTGGCGATGCATCACATCCAGCTTCACCATCGGCATCTCTGATGGTTTTTGTTGTTGTTGTTGTTCATCGCCGTCGAATGCGACGTGAACAGAGAGAAAGAAATTGAAGAAAAAAAAGATTAAAAGAGGTGAAATAGGCGACATTGGATTCGTGTAACCTAACATACAAACACGAAGGGAGACTGTAATGTCAGAGAGATGGAGCAATAAACAAAGCGGCGGCAATGGCGGACTTATAAATCTAAGAAGCTTACAATTTTGGAGTGCCTATTAATGGCGTTTCCTCTCTCCCTTCTTTTGTAATAACAAACTAACTGCCCCATCAATTACAGCCCCGCGACCATATCTTCTGCTTTTGTACTTTTTTTCTGTTTCCACTACAAAAAAAAAAAACAAAAACATATATACTTAATTAATAAATAAATTGATATTATATTGAACGTTAAATAAGGTGTCTAACTATTTTTAATAAATATATTTCTTTCAAATAAATATTTTCAAAACATGTATAAAATGGAAATTTTATTTGGTAGGGAACCATGACTAATTTAGGGAATGATCTCGTTTTATAAGTAAAGGAATACATTTCCATTAGGATGAGGTCTTTTGGGAAGCCCAAAGCAAAGTCACGAGAGCTTATGCATAAAGTGGACAATATCGTACCATTACGGAGATCAATGATATAGAGCCAGAATCCTCAAATATCAAACAAAGAATTGTGAGTCTCAAAGGTGCAGTGAAAAGTGACTAAAGTATCAAACAAATTGTGTACTTTGTTCGAGGTCTCTAAAGAAGGGAGTCGAGCCTCAATGAAGGAGAGGCTTATATAGTGTACTTTGTTCGAGAAGAAGATGGTTAGAAGTGAGTCCCGCATGGGCTAATTTAGAGGATGATCTTAAGTTTATTTTATTTCCTAATATGATAATAGTATGGGATTAAATCTTACTCTTCTAATATTAAAATAAAATATTTTAAAAATAAATAATTTATATATAATATATATATTTCTGTTGTAATTTTCTTATTCTACACTTTGTAGCAGTGGATCCGAATTGAACCACTTGACAAAAGGCAGTAAAAAAAACGCATTATTTCCTCTTCACGATTTGAGTAGAGTAAGTTAAAAGGCAACTCCAAATGGAAGAATTGTTAGGTTATGGAGTCCTTCGATAAATGACATATAAAGTAAATTGTCGTAAATAGCGATGTTACAGTAAAATAGTAAATTTTCTCGTATATTTTGTTAACTTAGTAAATATAAGTTGTTTTAGTTATTAAATTTGAAAAAAATCATTTATCAATATATTAATAGTTGATCCAGTCAACCAAGAATTTCATTCTCAAACGACCATGAGCAGTCTTTGCACAACCTCAATATTCCAACGTCTTCAAATTTAATAACCAAAAGAACTTTGACGCAATAGTGAAATATATGAGAAAATTTCTATTAGATAATACTTTAGAGGGAGGAGGATGGGGAATAAACACTACAGAAATATAGAAACATGCTAATTGCAATTCAGTCCAGATTTATTGTAGCCTGTATTCTTAATCTAAAGAGAGGATTTGTGTACCATTTCGTTTCTTGCATCAAACTTTAGTAAGCGAGGCTTTCAAGTGTTGTTGAAGACTGGTTAAGCCAGTAGCCATCTGAACCACGTAGGAAAGTTCTCCATCCACCAGTTTAAACGCTCTGCTTATTTCTTTCACCTGTTCCATAGAGACAGGTAAATAGTTTGGCTTTGTCTGGGACTTTGGTATGTTGATCAGTATTACAAATTATTGATGCATGCAATGCGAGCAAAAGGAGAAGGAAACCGAATGGGGACGAGAGGAAACCATTCACCATAAAAAAAATGAAGGGAAAAAAAGATCCTAGTTCTGTCTGGTACGTTGTATTGATCTAATACAAACGGGGACGAGCAGTTTTCCATTGGTTAATGATAATGTATCTCTTTCCTAACGCGCTGTTTTCGGGTTCAAGTATCGTCTCTTATAGAGTCAAATCATTTGTACAGTTATAAAGGGATGTTTGGCTCATGATTTTAAAGTCTCTCATTATGAAGCCTAGAAGTGGGACATTTAGGTTTGTGTAACACTTGTGTTTGGATTGTATAAACAAATAAATTATAGAAACTTAAGTTCCAATTATGATATTTAGTTGAAGGGTTTATAATTTAGAAGGATTTGTATAGAAACGGTAGATTGAGACTCACAATGGTTGGAGAGGAGAACAAAACATTCTTTATAAAGGTGTTGAAACCTCTTCCTAGTAGACGCGTTTTAAAACCGTGAGGCTAGCAGCGATATGTAACGGGCCAAAGCGGACAATATCTGCTAGCGGTGGGCTTGAGATGTTACAAATAGTATTAGAGCCAAATACCGGGTGGTGTGCCAGCGAGGATGCTGGGCCCCTAAAGGGGGTGGATTGTGAGATCTCACGTTGGTTGGAGAGGAGAACAAAGCATTTCTTATAAGGGTGTAGAAACCTCTTTCTAGCAGACACGTTTTAAAACCATGAGGCTAACGGCAATATATAATGCGCCAAAGCAGACAATATCTCCTAACGGTGGGCTTGGACTATTACACATAAGCTTGGGTTCATAAACCGTTGGGACGAGCCCTAAGTCACACAGATCTAACAACCAAAGCAAGGCTTTAACTTCTTAACCCTAAGTCACAAAGGTCTAACACGTACGTTTATCCTATAAGGTTTTTACTTGCCATAGTTAGCAGGGATGACAATTAACTATCAGTATCATGGAACAACAAAATTTGAAACCTAAAAATAATATGTCCGTATTTGAAATGGCCCTGAATAATGATGATCTAGTAAACGTTACCTTAGAAGCATTCCCTACAACTTCACTTTGGAGCATTATCACTTTCTCTTCTGCATTATATGTTCCTTTCTGGAAGAGAGATAAAAATCGAGTTATATTACATGGAAGGTAAAACAAACGTCTCCATTAGTTGCATTGCAATAATCTTCCCAGTTTTAGAAAATGGAAAACAATATTCAGAAGTTTAATGATACTGATACAAATAATACTAGTTATAAAATTTCACTGCCAAAAGCAAATTAAAATTGGCTATAGAAACCAGAGCTTTTATGGCAATGTGAAAGCTCACTAGCAAGTAATATGAATAAATTTTTCTTCTTTTTCTTCAGCTAAAAGTCACATCTAATCATCAGAAATTGCAGCTGATTTATTTCTAAATTCAATCCTATTAAGAGAACCTTCCTAGAACCTTGAATTTAATGTGGCTTATTTCCCTTCTTATCTAGTTCACCAGAACACCTGCTCCTTTCTGTTGTGTGAAGAATATGCACACAGCAAGTGAAAACAAAGAAAGGCAATCTACACCAACATCACAAGCTCAAAGCACAGATAAAAAACTGAGCACAAGAAGATCAGCAGCTAAGACAAAAAAAACTTGTAGTTTGATCAATTTTGACACATCCATATGGAGGAGGGATTTGAGCAGTTTAGTTTCATTTTTCACAACTATGAGTGTTTAGGTCAGTTTTAATCTCACGGGACAACCGCCTTGACCCTATAAAATATTCGGATGTCAAGGAAACTAAATTAAATCTTAGGTAAGTGGTCACCATGGATTGAACTCATTTCCTCTAGACCTTTTCGATCCATGACCTTGTTGACCACCAGGCAAGCCCATGATGGTTAATTTCATTTCAGACTTATCCACTTTAACTACATATTCTATCCATAAAGCTGACTTTCAAATGAACTACCAACTTTTTTATACATGATTTCCTTCACAAATAATGAATTACCTAAACCTTTTTATATTTGTGTCAGTCATTGGATCGAGCAGCTGGTGTGCAGTTGCAACTCTGCAGAATCTAACGTAGCAATTGTGATATGGTTGACAGTGACAGTATAGTTTAAGAATCCAAGGTGTAGGCCATGGAGTGAGTAATTGAATGGTTTCAATTTACAAGATGGCGACTGAGATTTTCAATGGTTTGAAAACGTGACCGTTTGTTTTCGTGGGAAAGACAAGGCCAGATGAGGGAAAAAGGAAGATTTCATTTCAACAAACAAGATCGATTATATTGTTAGATCACATACAGCATAGAGCCACTTTGCATCATGTCACAAATCCGTGTGTTTCAATCATTCTTCGCAAAATCAAAATCAGAGAACATAAGCACGTCTAATATTCAACCACAATTCTCTTTTAGCCTACGAATTTGAATGTAACGGTAGAGCACACGAGAAAGAGACAGCGATTTTGACCTGAACTTCAACGAGACCAGTGCTTTGAGCGATTACAACTTCAATGGTACCATCGGGCTTGGGACGCCAGTAGCCACTCTCAGCGTGCATAGGCTCTCTAGAATCGAGTTTCCAAGTCTTTTGGCTGTAAGAAATCACTGGCTTCTCCCACAATCATCGTATTAAAAAAATCCCCAAACAACGAAGATAACCGATTAGACAAAAAAAGCAAAATCCAACCGCGTGGAATGAGATAATTATAACTATATTAAGATGATATCAGCGAAAACAACAAATAGAGACGAAGAACAGGGAGTTAAAGGTTACCTTGCCGGAATGGGAGAAATGGATCTCCTCGCCGTAAGAGAAGGAATTAATGGTGGGGAATCCACCGTCGCCTTTGCCTCTCCATGTTCCAAGTAAAAATGATAGCGGTGCTACGGCCGGGTGGATGGACAACGGAGCCGGTACCGGCGGCAGTTCTCCGTCCATTTCTTCACCTGCTTTGACTCGGTTCTCTCTTGTTCGCCTTGTGTTGGCGTTTTCAGTTTCTTACCGACGGAGAACACGAAACTTACTCCTTTGTCCTTGGCGCCGGGGCTTCCCTCGTAAACAGAAAGTAACTATCCATTTAATAAAATTACTTTTTAGTCCTTAACCTTTAGTCTGAGCTAGGTGTATTCTTGGGTTTGTACATTTTTAGTAGAACATTAATTCAATCCAATCAAGTAATTTATTAAACTTTTATTCTAAATTTTCATATATAATATATATATATATACTAATTTAGTAATCCATACAAGCAGATTGTTAACGATCTCAGTACTTATCGAGACCGTTCTTTCGTTTTTCAATATCCCTTAGTACTCCCTTAGTACTGGTACCGTTCTTTCGTTTTTCAATATCCCTTAGTACTGGTAATTCCTTAGTACCGGTAATTCTTTCTTTTTTTAGTGACCCTTACTATAATCCAGAAAGGGAAAAGTTCAGATTTAGTAGGTACTTTTCGATTTAAATTACTAATTTAATTCTAAAATATTAATTTGGAATATATTTAGCATTTAAGTTTTAAGAATTTCTTATTCATCTCTACATCGTTATGTCTATTTATGTGTTGTTTTAAAAGAATCTTTAAAATTATAATTATGTATCAATTAGGATTTAAATAATAGATTCATTTTATATCTGTTAATACGTTAAAATTCTAATAAGTATTTAAAACCGTAAAACTTATTAATACTGTAATTAAACTATTTGTAATCTAATTAACCTTTAAATTGCATATTTTGGGTGTTTTTTTAAAAAAATACATCATAAATCTGACGAAATTGCATATTACGTATTTATTTTTTATAATTTATAAAACGAAAAAAAAAAAACTAAAAATAAAAGACTTTTTTTTTATCAAATAAGGAGAATTTTTAATACTTTCAATATATTAATTATTGACCCCAAAAAATGCTTTAAGTATTCATAAAAAATAATAATAATAATAAAGATGGGTGCAAGAGTGTCCCTCAAACTCAAGGGAGACTTTTGATATCATCATCGAAGTTTTGAAAATTAGGGCGAAATTTCGCAGAGGAAAGTAACCGTCTATTAATACATCATCGGTCCGTTATTGTATCAGAAACATTAAGCACAACCATATAATAAGAGAGTGTGCGCATACCAGGCCATATGTACAAGAGCTGAAGCCATCTGGTTTTCCAAACATCACACAGCAAACAAGCAAGCAAAGCAAAGTCATTAGCAGCAATTCAATAACCTCCCTGAATGAAAGCATTCAGGCGGTTTAGCTCCTCCCGGTGCTCGCTCACCACAGCCCGAACCACGTCTCCGATCGATACCATGCCTTTCATACCCTTGTCATCGATGACCGGTATGTGCCTAATTCGATTATCTGCCCACCAAGCAAGAGTACTCCATGTTATATTTCATGGTGTAGTGATAAATATATATTGCAGCTAGACTGAAATAAACAACCTTTTCTTCGAGGAAAAGAAAAAAAAGTCCGTTGAACATATTCTTTCGAAAGTTGCAATTTTACTCTGGGTGCTTTATAAATGTTTCAAAATGTTTCAAAATTATCTTTGAAGTAGAAAATCCAAAAGTTTCAGTTCTAGATTGCAACTACATCATTCCACCCTCCAAGTCCCGACTTCCATTTGGAAATAATAAACGAATTTCTACTCTAAAGGTAATTGTTAATGGTGAAACTTATATGGAAGGCAAAAAAATAATATCACCACTTTTTCGTAACGAAACAAAAGTAAAATTGAGATGTGTTTTTTTTTATAATTTAACCTAAGAAGTAAAGTGAGGTAATACCAGTCATAAGTTGCATAGCTCGTAAAACCTTGGTGTCAGGTGTCACAGTGATAAGTTTGTTCTGCAAAATTAAAGGAATTTGTCATTGCTCTAGTCGAACTTGGAAGAGTCGATCTTTTGTGCAGCCATAATAACTTCATGCAAGAAACGACATTATTTGTAAATACATTTCCAAAATTTATAAATGAAATGCTAATTGAAACTATTTTAAAAGAAATCAACCACAAATAAACGAAAATAGAATGAAATTGTTGATATTTCGGCTTAAATTTTGTTTTTAATTGAAAGCATCCAATTTCCGTCATTGCTCACGCAACTAGTAGAGAAATAAGGCTGGCTGACATATAAAGGTGACAGGTTCATACCTCCTCAGTCATGATATCCCCAACTTTGGTAGACTTGGAGGACCTGCCTTGCACTATAATCTTTCTCAGATAATCTAGAAATGTGTGAAAAGAAAAGCTCAGAATTCAGATATTACATTCCAGATAATCTAGAAATGTGTGAAAAGAAAGGCTCAGAATTCAGATATTACATTCCAAAAGACAAGAAAGATGCCTTCATTGGACCTAAAGCTTAGAACTAACCTTCTATGGTTATAGTACAAGGAAAACTGAAGGAGAAGATGAGGAGAAATGACAAATAAAAGAGGAAAAGCCACGATGTAGGAGTAATCTCTACATGGGTTTTAGTTCTACACGGCACAATCATAAGTGGAAACCATTTTGGGTACCCAAAACTCACGGAAATAATGCAAATTTACTCCACCCAAAAACATCATTAAAAAGAAAAAAAAAACCAGCTCACTTTGAAATCTCCGCCGAAAAACCAATAAAAGACTAGCAATCCAAATGGAAACTGATCAGAAGAATGAATTTCCAAAAATCAGCCAATTGCAGAATGCTGGAACCTAAAGATTTTTGAGTACATACATTTGCTAGTTGTCCCAAACTACAGTATAAATGAATCTCTTCATTCTAAATTAGGATAGAACCATAGATTTTGTAGTTGAAACCATTTATTCAGAGCTTATTGTATCGCGTACCTCTCTCTGTTATAATACCAGCTATTGAATTTTGCTCCGCAGGTTTAACAACCACCAAGGCTCCAACATTGTGCTGGGTCATCTTTTTTATGTAAACCAAGGGGGAGAGTGTAAGCAAGAACAGCAGAAGAAAACAATTTTTTTTTTTAACAAAGTTCTAATCAAAACAATGAAAAAAATATAAAAATGTTCAAGAGAAACAACTCCCAAAAGGAAGTGTACCGACTGAACGGCATCATAAACTGTGTCATCTGTGGTGCACCAAAGCCATGATCCGTCAGCACTTTTGCCTTTTGCTTTCAAGATGTCATCAATCGTAGTGCTTTCAAAGCCATGCTCTTCAATGTTTGCGGAACTGGTTGATGTTGTAAAGCGTGAAAGCATTGCAGGCCTCATACAGGGGTTTGCTACACGAAGTTGTTGCAGAACAGCAGTTTTCACAATGTTTCCATGTGATAGAAATGATCGCACAGCACCTTGCATCTTCACCTGTTCAAGCAAACGGTTAAAAATGTGTACAATAAGCTCTCTTTGAAGCGCCATATCAGAAAACAGCAGTCCGTTACAAATACACCCTTGATAATGATTTAAAACATTAGTAAATTATTACATTAAACTAGAATTTTAGTTACTAGAGTGTAAGATTTGTTTTATTTAGTTTCTAAATTTCAAGCTTGATCCCTAAACTTTCAATTTTTTCAAAAAATCATGAAGTTAAGGCTTCATTGGAACTAAAATTATATCAACTAATTTCACAAAAATTTGAATTTTCTAAGAACCTTTTAGACACAAATTAAAAATTTAGAGATATATAAGATACTTTTGAAAATTTAGAGGACGAATAGATACATACCTCAAAATTTATAGACTAAATTTGTAATTTAACAATTAATTTATAATTTACCTCTAGAAATCCACCTAGCAAAAAAACAAGAAACAACAGCCTGGAAGAACCTTGACAATTGATGCACAATAATGTATGTACAGAAATTCCTAACATGACGTGAGATGACTAATTTTTCCTCTTTCCACCGAGTTAGTTGCTAGACTTCACTTACGAAATAAATTAGCTCAGCTCGTCTATATTAAACTACTTACCTATCCGTAGTAATTTACTCCATGAATATGAAGATCTAATGCAGAAAAACGTGTAAGGGAAAGTGCGGATGACGAATTAAACGTCCGTAATACAAAACAGGATTCAAAATCGATCCAGCTCGCTAAAACCGAGATCAGTACACTAAATATACTGAGTACAAAAGAACGGAAGAAGAAAAAGGAATCGATCAGCACATCAGTAAGGAAAAACAATCAATCAGTCGAGCAGAGCTTGACGAACGCATTAAAACGAAGAGCGAGAGAAAAATCAATCGTCGCTACCAGCAAGAGAATACGAAGCGAAAGAAATCCAAATACCTCACAGAATTGAACGTTGATCGCAGGAAAACGATAAGATTCAGACGATTGGACAACAAAATGAGGATGAAATGGAGAAAATAAGAGATATACCTGATGAAGATCCGGAAGAAAACCTCTCGATTCACGAAGGAAGTGGAGAACCAAAAAGAGTGACGGCTTAGTGAGGAACAGATAACGAAACCTATTGGAAGGAAAAGCTCACGGATATGGAACTGTTAGACCCGATTTTATCTCTCGATTCTTTCGTTTTTCTTTTTCTTTTTGGACACACTTTCTTTCCCCACCGCTGTTCTTGCTTTTCTCATCCATCATTATTTTTTATTTTTTATTTTTATGTGATTGCGATTTTTCTAATTTATCTTTTAAATAAATATAATATCTAAAATTATTTTCAAGTTTTGATGAACTAAAATAAGTATATATATATATTATTTTTAAGTTGTAAATTTAAAAAATTTAATTATAAATTTAGTTCGTTATATTTATTTTGTATTTCATGAAATTAAAATTTTTATTTAATTTATCAATTAATTTTTTAAAAAAATAGTAAGGAGTTTAGTTTTTTTTTTTTTTTGTCTAAAAATAAATTTATTACAATTATTTTGTTTTTAGTTTTATTTTTTAAATTAAGTTTACAAATTCATACTTCCATATGTAATTTTCTTGTTTTATTGTCCATGTTTTAAAAAACTAACAAAAAAAATAATAATAAAGTTTGTTATAATTTAAATGTATTTTAAAAAATGTGAAAATATATAAATAAAAGTTGGGCAGAGACAAGCATGATTTTAAAAATATATATA